TGGTCACCGACAGAGTTCTAGAAAGCTAAGACTCCTGCCTTTGTTGCGAACCGGCTTTCTGCAGGTGGGCCTACCTGAAGTTAAATAGCACAGGCACAGCCATTCGGTTTTCACTGTAGTCCAATGGAGCAGAGCGCGGTGGGGAGCAAACCTTGTGTAAGTGTGCGCGGGTGTGGGGGGGTACGGTCCATGGCTTGTTTGCCCCAGGAGTCGCAGTGGGCCATCCAAACTATTTAGACGGTTGGCCTCGACATTCGTGAGACGTCTCCTTGCCACTCAATGGAACATCTCTTGCAGCGGAATTAGCTGAGGAAGTGGTCATTTGGGTATCTGACGAGGAAGGCTATGCCGCTTGGCTGCCCACCGAAGTGCTCACCTATGTGATCCTTGGTGCTCGCAAAATCGCGGCGGCGCGGTGTTAACATTGCCAGCTCAGGGGATCAAGAGGTTTGTTGAAAGGACTGTGTCAGTTTAGTCATTGCCCACCCGGCTCACCTTTGGGCGCCACTGATGTGCAAACAGAGCCACGAGAGTGTTAATTAGTACCTGGTGAGTTTCTACGCCAGTAGTTGCATTGCCTCGGGCTTCAGTGCCCTCATGCACTACCCAAACAACCACCGGGTAAACACCAATTCATGCATTCGCCAAGAAGTCGAATCTAGCTTTTCTTGACAGCTTGGGCCATTTTGGGCCCCCCAAATGCTACACAATGTGGATCCATATGTCCCGTGCGTTTCCACGTCCATCGCCCAAGGAATCCCGATGGCGAGGAACAGCCCTACGAGTTCTACCAACGCGCCTTGGTGCGGCTGAACAAGGGGGCGTCTCTTGGCAGATCGGTGAACCGTTGTTTTTTCATGGTTTTTCTTCTTGTGTGGGGAGTCTCACGGTAAGGGGATGGAGTGCACAGGGCGCTTCTCCAGTGAGGGTGGGCAAGACTGCTCAAGCCTTGCAAGCTCCCAGCCAGCCAGGCTTTTCAAGCCGGAATCCTTCGAGAAGCAGTCAGCTCGCACTATTCAATACACCTTGGGCTGGGCAGGTGTAGACAATGGCCCCATGATGAAGCCCGATCCGTTTCTTGGATGTGTGCAGTTGGGCGTTCGTTTTTGGTCATGATTCGAACGATAATGCGGATCCGGTTCACCGGCTTGGCAGTACAGTACAATGCAGTATTGGCAATACATGTAGATTGTAGATTGTCAGACGTGTTGTCGTTCGGGAAGGCTACAAATGGTAACTGTCCCCGAACGCCGAGTGTGAATCTTGGGAGGGAATGCACTGGCGTCACAAGTCGGTATAAGGGGCTGTCGGTTCAATCCTCAAAAATGCTGTCGAGATTTTTGTGCCGATTGACGGACCCCTTGACTTGCGGCCCACCGCTGATTCCTGGGCTCCGAGGCTTCGTGATGCCGCCTTCGCTCAGGCGAAGGGCGCACATCACGCATTGGCAGGGACATTTGGTTGGAGTTGATCTTGGCAGAGGTTAGGTTCGTTAGGATGTTCTACATCCATCGTCTTCCTGAACCCCGGATGTGGCCCCTCGTTGTTTGGAAGAAGGTGATCATGATGATCAATTTTTTGGGGCATGCTTTCTGTCTCTGCCATGCCCAACTTGTCCGTCCACAACTTATCGCATGGTGGGCGAGCCAAGCAAACACCCTTTTTATATAGGGTGGCTTCATGTGGTTTCTCAGTTCTTAGGGCTGTTAGGATTTGTTTGGAGTTCGTGATGTGTTGAATCACAAGGAGTTTTTTCTTTCTTCCAGGTTTCTCCAGCAATAGTCGGTGTTTCCTAGTCTTAGTATATGTAATTTACATATGCTCCTTCCGCCCATTCCTTGATGCCAAGTCCTGTGGTGTATGGGCTTTGTTCCTTTTCAACAAATAACGGACAAATATGTCGCAGAGGCTTTTTCCAATCCTTGACTTCTCTCCCTCTCTCTGTGTCCTTTTCTTTCCTTTCTCCCGTCTTGGAGGTCTTCTTCAAAAAAGGTCGGGATGCCGATGACTCGGGTGTGCTGCTGGACCTTGGCTGCCAACACGGCGAGAGCAGCCGTCTCTTTGCGAGCCTCGGAATGGTTGTTGGAGCCTGGTGCCAGTCCAAAAAGACAGCATGCGCAGGAACCATGCAGAGTTTTGGTTGGATTTCTACCCTCAGGTCATTGGTGCTGCCATGTGTTGCCCATTGCATGTGCAATTACATGTAATTACAGCTGATTTAACAAACTTTGAGTTTGAATTCTATCCGGTTGTTGGCCTCCACCTAGGAACTCGAGGAAGTTCGATCTGATCTTCGGTCCCTTGGAATCGATCAGAGGCCGCCACACGAGCAGTGGCGAGCAGTGGCGCCTACCCTCTGCCGTTAGGACCCTATGTGACATAATCATAAGTGTCTCACAGGGTGTATATCAGCCGAGGGGGTGTATTGGGCTGAGATTTCGGGGTTTGGGTCGTAGTTTGGCCCACCTAACTTTAAAGAGAGGAGAGTCCATCAAAATTTGGCACAACACCCCCAAGCACTTTCCTTTTTGTTGTGGGTGCTTTATGTAACAACGAGGAGGGGAGAATCGTATAGACATGTAACACCACTTCAATACACAACATCAAATTTGCCGTACATGGCTTGATTCTTCAATGCCACTTTGCACAGCTGCCTTAGAGGGTGTGCTTAAGACAGCTTCAGACAGACTTGACTTGACCCACTTCAAAGCTCGTAGGTAGCCCAGCCATCTCCAAGGCATGGATCTCAACTCCAGCGCCCTGTACCAAGCACGCTTGGACGCTTGGCGTCATATCTAATCAGTGTGGGTGGTTCGGATCACAGGAACAACCGCAGCTCAGATAGCCAAGCAATTATGCGGCCGTGACCAGCCAGCAGAACAAGACCTGGCTCAGGAGAGTGCCGGGAGTGAGCTCCCTAGAAGCGCTCAGTCATGTACAATCACTGAATGAACCTAACTTCCATTCTCACCTTGCCATCCTCACCTTTTGACCCCATGTTTTTGCTACAGAAGCCTGAACGTTGCTCCATTGAGGAGTGTGAAGATGAGCAGATCGGCCCGGAGCAGGGCCTCTTCCTCCTCCGAGGTGATGCGCAAGAGCTGCCCTTCCGAGACCAGCAGATCGACTATGTCGCTCGGTGTGAACACATGTGAACGCTGGAGAGGATGGGAATGGCACGGGGATGCACGGGGTGTGGAAGGTGTGGATGGGATACATTCTGAACAAAGGCCAAGGCAGCTATGCTTGCTGCCTTGCACCATGCAGGTTCTAGGCTTGAACATCTCATTCAATCAACAAGCCATATCAGAGGTGTTCTCGTGAATCGCCATGCCCCCTTGGTCAACCAGGTCTGGTGGTCCTTCGGCTGGGAGGAAGTGGAACGGCCTGAGGAGGTCCTCAAAGGCGCCAGACTTGGGCATTCGGCGAGTGGTTGGAAGTGCCAGACTTGCCGGCGAAGTCTGGCTGGAACAATGGAACGGTGTTGCACCTTCTTGAGGGTTTCATATTAGTGTTTTATGGACTCAGGGATTCTCAAAGAAATCTGGCACTGCGGGGCTAGGCCGGGCGGGCTGTGCTTGAGACACCATCATACACGCCATCCCTTGGCTTCCTCAGGGATCTATCGGATCCTGAAGGTGGGCGGCAGGCGTGACTGAGGGAGCGAACAGTTGGCCGAGTCTAACTGTAGGATACTGTAGGTGGGCCTTGGGCCATGGCAAGGCCAATTGGTTCCATGTGGTTCCAGATCTTTGAGATGCCATCGAAGTCAATTTGGATGCCCGTTGATCTCAGGGTGGCCATCGCCACATCCTTGGGAAAGCCACAGGCCAAGGAGAGGAGTTGCACAGAGTTTCCAGATGTTCGCAGCGCCCACCTACCATGAGAACATTATTGTGTGAGTCATCAGTATTCAAGTCTTGAATTGGACTGCGCACGAGGACATCATGTCGAAGATGGTGACACTGGGGTTTTCTGCCGCTTGGTGTTCAGTCAGTGGAACCTCACTTTGGTGGCCGGCCCTTTAAAGATCAAGATGATCAAGCTATTCAAGCTCACATACTCTGAGACGTTCGAGGACATGTATTGCTCGGGCCCGGGAGAGTAATTAGATGAAGGCAGTGCAAAGAACAGACTTTGCAAAAACCTCACTCTTCCCCTTTGGTTCGGAGCTCCTGCTCTTCACTTCTGCCACTTCACCACGATTGACTGGATCAATCCCCACCACCCACGGCTGAGGAAACCAGCATTTACCCACCGCGCTCCAAAGTCTTTCTCAACTATGCACCTTGGTGGAAATGTCAGCACACGATCGCCGATTTTTATGGGAGGTCATTCCACAGGACTTCATCATGCGTGATATCTTGGTGTGAGCTTTATGCTGTTTCGAAGCTTGGGCGATGCACTAGCTCACTTGAAGTGGTTTCTTGGCTTGTTTGGGTGACTGGCCCACATGCCAAACAAGCAACAAGCGTATCCTCCGACCGGAGCTGCGTCTCTCTGCTTCGGCCGCGACACCGAGGGCACCAAGACGTCGCCGTCGTGAGAAGGACCAACAGGGTTAAGACGCGGTTGGACCTCTTGGTCCTCAACATCCTGGACCTGAAGGCATCCAAAGGTTGCGCTGAGGCAAAAAGGGGTCGCCCGAGAAAGGCAACGTCAAAGCCTGTATTAAAGTTGATGCAGGAGCAGTATGGAGCAGTCCCGAGCAACTTTTCAACTACGAGCAGTGTGCGTTCCACATGAAGCACAAATGCAGTCCCTCACTCTCCATGTCAGATGCTAGGGTCACCATGTTGATGTTGAGGTAAAGCCCTTCAGTTGGCCACCATGAGGAGGGGATCACTTGACAAGGGGTCGTTTACCAGCCACAAGCTATGCTGTGGGCCCTAGACTGCCAACATGCGTCCGTGTATTTGTTCAAAGTGAGTGCTGCATCTCCACTCTCCCCAGTCCTTTGCTTGAGCGATGAATCAAGCCTCTGACCACGCCTGCTTGAGGCTGGAACATGGCAGCAGTGCTTTTGGAGGTGAGGTTGGTATGAAGACAGCTCAGCAGCGATTCCGTTTGGATGCGGGTTTTGTCGGCCCGACGGAGGAGGTGTTCTGACACCTTTGTTGAGGCGGGACAGGAATCTTGTTGAGGCGGGTGGGTGACCTACATGGTGAGGTGCTCGATCGCTCAGCACCCATTGTTGGATCATTGTGGAAAGGTAACTATCAAGGGTTCAGTTTTCACCTGTTAGGGGGCAACAGTGGCGTGCCCGGAGGCACCATGGAGAGACGAGCATCTTCAAGCAGAGGCGACAGAGTCTGGGAGGATGGGAGCGATCTGTTATGGAATCCTTGGGATGGTTTTTCTGTATTCCTTGGTGCGGGATATGCCCCACTTCAACCCAGTTTCCTTGCGATCTGCCACAACAAGGTTTGAATGAATCCAGCTTGCAGAGCCCTACAGTGAACCCGTGGCCAAACTGGAGAAGTCAGACAGGCTTCACATGTTCCCGCACACTCCCAGAGCTCCAAGTAGCGTCCGATCGCTCCTCGTAGCGATGCCAGGAGCCCCTAGTAGTGTCCTTTGTTACTACTAGTAAGCATCCTTGTTCCAAGATTGAGGTGGAATCTATACAGTGAAAAGGCATGAAAAGGCCAATTATCTCTCATCCTGGGTTGTGCACGTGACAGAGTTGATGTGATTGAGTGTACATACAAAATCATTCTTCTGAAATCTTTTGGAGAAAAAACTGATGGGAGAACAAACGGATTATATTTTCAAACTTGTCAAGATGTACAACCTATATATATATATATTTTGATATACACATATTATAGTAAATCCTGAGGAGGAGTAGCTTTGAAGTCACAACTGAGTGGTGGATGCGAATCCTCACCTCTCTGGAACTCCGAGGGGCTCGTGCTCTTTCTGGGGCAGCTCTATTCGATGAGGCCAACCGGGACCCGGGAGGCTGTTTGTCCCAAGAAACTTGTTGGTTTTGGGGGCAGAGTTGCTGGCTCCTGCAGTCCCTATCGTTACCAGATTTTAGGCTGTGAGCAAGGCATGCCCGCTTATTTGTTTGAGGAATCCTGGAATCCGAATGCATACTCCTCTTCAGCTGGAGTTTCAAGTGCAAGCAAAAATGCCAAGTCGACTTGAGCCCCTGGCCCTGCGGGCCCTGCGGGGGGGTTGTGGAGGTGTTTCCTGAAGCTTTGCTCATCTGACCCTGGGTATTGCTGGAGCCCTGGTCCCTGGTGGGATCTGAGACAGAGAGAGAGAGAGAGAGAGAGTGGCCCAGTCTGCTTAGGCTGCTAGATGAGCAGGAATGTGTTGCCACCCTTAATTGCTCGCCATGCTCTTTTTGGTCATACTCTTGACAGTGGCAGTTGCCAAGTATGATTGACAGTGGCATCCCATATCAATATAAATCATATTGTACCCAGTGAGCCCAATGACCTGACTCTGGAAGGACTTTCTGCATGCCAACAGATCACACCTTTTCTCCCCCAGCCTGTCAGCGGGAACAACCATCGTCCAACCTAAGGTGCGCTTCACACTTCAGACGAGCAGAGGTCCCCCTGACATTGACGGGGTGTCAATCAAGGTTGAAGGAGAGGGCCAGCTCCTTTCCATCCAACACATCCTTTTCCAACCTTGAGTTTGCCGTTTGCTTTTTGACCCTTCTTACCTGCAGGGCTTTGTGCACACCCTGCGTAGCACAAGCACGAACCTCCCCTTGCTTGAAAGTTTTTCAACGTTGTCCCAACTTGCAGAGTGGCCAAAAGATGGCCTCGCCGCCTAGCCGTCAAGGTTTCTCTTCTCCCATCGGGTGCCAGGCGAGCAACTCAGGCCTCCTACGGCTTCTCAGAGGAGTATGTGGCAGTGGCGATGGCCAGTGAGAATGATCCGGCAGGCGGCATCAATGGCTCGAAAATGGTGAAATGGCATTTGCACGCCTAGCTAGCACAAGCTACTTGAGGTTCAAAGGATGATGCGCAGATTGAATTGTCACTGATTCAAGACCTGGCACCCAGAACAAATTAGGCCGCACAATTGCAACTCCAATGATAAAGAATTGAGCTGGTCGGCAAGTTTTGCAGTGTGGGGTAGGGTAGGTTTTTGATATTGGGCCTGTGGGGGTCCCCAGGATGTGGTCTACAACCTTTGTTCGGTGGTAGGTAGAATGGTCACATATCCCACCGGTTCCAAGCAGCATGATCCAGCATGTCCCAGCCACTGAGTAGAGGAAATTGATCGTCCACAAGAACAGCCAAATGTTTTTGTAAAGATTAAAAAGAGGTTAGGTCAACTTGGGAACTGCAGCAATGCCGTGAAACACCTTCCATTTCATCAGTGGGGCCATGGAGAAACCAGTCCAAAATCAGCGGTTCTCTCTCTCTCTCTATATCTAACATAATTTGTCACCACTATCTAGTAGTGAGCCAGTCGGTTCAGAGAGGGCGGATGATATGCCCCCCAGAAAACTCCATGCCATTCCTTTCCCTCTTGAACTGTGGAATCACACCGCCACACGCACACAACTGCACAACTCACAAGACTTCGCAGCCGTGGTCCCCTGTGGCTTGGGGTGATGACGGCATGTGGGATTTCGAGACGGCGAAGCAGAATGCAAGTCTTTTGGATGGAGCACTTCAAGCAGCATTGGGAGACCTGGACCTAAAGTTGGACCATGGATGACAAACCTCAAGGGTGCTTGCAGGGTTTGCATGACCATATGTCACCAGCTGAGACTGGGCTGTAGTTGGCTTTGGTTGTTGCAGTTGGTGCAGGAGCTCCTCCCAAATAGGTCAAAAGAGCACTTTTTTACCATTATATAATTTATATAATTCCGTTTGATTTCTTGTCGCACTTCTGCATTAGGAGAGCTTTGGTTCCACCACTCCCGCCGGCCGAAGAGCAAACTGCCTCCCAATTTGCGACCGGGCGCGCTCCAGCGTGCTCGGGGGTATTTGGAGAGTTGCTTGGAGGTCCAAGTGAATGACCAGGAAGCAGCCTGGCTGCATGTGTGGCTGAATCGTGTCTTGGATGCTCAGCAGGACCGAGATTGGGAGAAGATCCCACACTGATTTGCCGTACTGTAATCATTGTCGTGCAAAGCACTGCCAAGTGATATTGCATCTCAGCTGGGGGGCAACAGTATATAGATGTAAATTGCTTGGTCAGCAAGCCGGACCTGGGTGTTTTGCTTCATGCATGGCTTAGAAACATGAACATTATTCCAATGTTGGAGACCGGCACGAGTTGTGGGTGGTTTTCAGATTCTTTGCATTTGCCGTCACCAAAGGTCGACGGTTTTGCATTGGTTAGCCCTGTGCTGGTTGATTGAAGTCTGGGCAGGATCTTCAACTCCCAGAAAGACTTGGTTGGACAAACACTTTCATGCTGCCTTTACGACCAACATGTCAAGCACACTAAATCTAGAGCGTTGAAGACTTTAAAGACGTTTAAGTTAAAGATATTAATAGACATTTTGTTTTAACATATTGTTCCCAGACACACTTCCTGGGAGGACTGGCCGGCTTGTCGATCATGGGCTGCGAAGTGTGTTGCAAGCCCCTGGGCTGAAGACAATCACAGCCGTGCGATCATGCCTTTAAGCCTTCTAATCATCGATAATATGACATTTGGGTTGCACATGTAGTTGTACTTCAGAAGTTCAGAGCCTCCAGGGACTCGCATTTCTCACTTGACAGAATTCAGTGAGGACACCCTTCTGGAGTGACAACGAACCGAGGAGGCGTTTTCTGGGAGCATCCGTTCCAAAGACCTGGACACTTCATCCGCGGCCTGAGTGCTTTGCCCTGGCATTCCGCACAGCGCTTCGAGCTTTGTAGGCCTTCAGTGGTCAGTTTCAGGTATGCCCTAGAGCCACTGACCAAATCCTGTACAATGAAGAGAGTGAGCATTTTTCTGGATGTGTTTGTTCCTTTTTTTTGGATGATCTTTTTTGTGTGCGTTTTCTGGGAGTGTTTTTGCTTGCCTTCTGCTTTTGCTTCTGCTTTTGCTTCCGCCCTTGCTTTAAGTAGGGAAGAAAGTCCAAAGAAGCCCCACGGAAGTGAAAAACCCAAATGATTTCCAGTATTTGCAAGATCGCTTGAACTCCGACCTACATGGTGCTACAGGACTTCATCGATGGATGCTCGGTTGAGTGCAGCAGATGGGAAGCTGCGTGTTGTTGCATGGAACCAACTCTGGCGGTAGTCCCATTGATTTGTCCCAGTCTTGTTTGTCAAGTTCTCGACTTGTTTCCATGTTTGTTTCTCAAGTTTTCGAAAGCTTGACGTGCCCCACAGACTTCTCCTGGACAGTGGTTACGCCTTGCTTAACATCGGCATCAATGTCAAGCACTGGACTAAAGCTTACACAGTTGCCGAGGCCAGTGCTTTGCGTACCGCCCTCAGCGTTTGGGAGGCCATTGCGTCGTCTGAAGCTGGTCCTGACAACACGCGTTTTGCCTCCACCTTCTTTCGTGATTGTCAGCATCTCGTTCTGGTTTTGTCTAAGGACTGTATTCAGCAGTGGCACGGGGGCACGCATCTTGGAATTGAAGCGGCCAAGCGGCCAGAATCAACATCGTACCGCGCCCTCGGCCATGAGGGGGCGCTCGCAGGAGCTACTTCTTCAGCGCCTGCTGGCTTCGCCGGCCTGGCGACCAAGTACCTTTCTAAGGGTGATGTTCACTTCAGGTTGCTCATGCCCGCCTGCCTCTTCCACCTCGCTTGAACTTGGCACGGCTTCAAAAAATAGGGCTTAGTGCGAATACAATTTGGCTGGGCGGCTCTACCGGTGCGCACCTTAAGGTGGCTTGCGGCAAAGTCCAGAGGCAAGAACAAGCAACAAGCTAGGTCCAAAATGGCGCGGGCACCGACAACACCGAGGTCGCAACTGCTTCGGGCACGGCAGCGAAGGACAAACTCAACAAAGAGATAGTGTTGCGGTCGGTGAAAGCGAAGACGCTAAGCCCTCGGCCTTAGGGTGGGTCTCGCAAAAAAGCCTGAAGAATGATTACGTATGCCAAGCCAGCGAACTGGCGAAAGTACGTCGAACTGAAGCCGAGTCGAAATAAATGAAGTGTGCAGCACGTCGTTCCCAAGCGTTTCTGGTTTTGAGATTACGAGATACGCTCAGGGAAACCATTTGCCGAATCAAGCTTTCTATAGGGGCCAAGACTTCATTCGTTTCTGAGGCCAAGACTTCACTCGTTGACTCCTGAAAATGAAACCTCTTTGTTTGAAAATCGCCGTCGTCCATCCATTCATTTTCACCTGATGCGCAGCATGCTTTACATTTCTGCATCGCCGCTGCCACGCCCTTGCGCGCAGCCAGGTCTTCAAGGAAGGCAAGAGGCCAACGATCTTCCAATACGTTCTGAGCAAATGAGAGGATTTGACTTCGAGGCGCTGCGCAACACAAGGGAGAGGTCGAAGATGGATTGCGGCTCAAGACCTGTACATACAGCTACATTTTTGGCGCATTTGCAGCCATTGTCCGAAGTCTGAACAGGGCGGAGACCCCTGTCAACAAAAATAACGCAACACGTATGAATCACAGGGGTTGAAGACAGGTCCACAATCTAGGTCAAACGTACGCACGCCATGGGGTACAGTGCTGTGATAGCGGCAATCATGACCACAAGATACAAGATGTAATAGTAACACATATTCAGTGTTTGGTTCCAACCGCTCTCTGGGCCCACCTGGTGTCTGTATATACCATCCCCCCGTGAACCATGCTCTAGAAAATGAAGAGAATCAAGACAAGTCATTTTATAGTTGTTCATATGCGTTTAAACTTTTTGAAAGCTATGATTCATTGCATTTTGGGGCATTCCGCCCGGACTGGTATAAGAAGATGAATACAGCCTCTATACAATGCTTTTTTGCTTTCTTTGGAAGGGTGCCGTTGAAAGCAACAAAGAAAACCACTGTTCCTGCCCCTTGCCTGGGCGGTCCGCCTTCATCTTCGAGCACTGTCCCGGCGACAAAGCCAGCCAACAATGCCTTCACGTCCACATCCGTGACTCCGTGACTCGAACTTTCACAGCGGCGCTGGTCTGGACAACAAACTGGCTCTGCGGAGCCTGCCGCGTGAGCAAGCCTTCTTCGTTACCTGCCGCGAACATCTGGGAGGGGCTTCGCCAGGTTGACTGAAAACACCACACCCCCTACCGGCACTGGTTCAGGCTCGAGGAAGATGCCGCGAACGATCCCGACTTGGGCATCCAGCCGGCCGCTGTTCACATAATTTTTTCCCGGTGCGCAGACCTCCTCGGCAAGTGCAAACTTCGGCTTGCCAAGCACATGTGGCCGGACGACAGCAACCTGATACCTTCGGTGGCCCTAGGACAGGACGGTGTGAACTGCTTGATCTCAGCCACCGATTCTGGTTCGCCTGTGTCGGCGCGCCTCAATGGCGGTGTAATCTTTCGTACATTGCAATCTTTTTCTTATGCCGGCAGGGGGGTCACCCCCCCCAAGGAAACATACTTTCTATCAAAGAAACGTATGCGAGCAGGGCGGTGGAACCCCCCCAAGAAGGAGACTTTTGGTCAAGGGAATGTATGGAAGGGGTGGGGACATCATATAATAATCGTGTCATTGGCCAAGCTTCTGGAGAGAACGATGGGGAACGCGCGTATGGCGCGGTTGTTTTGTGTGCTTGGGGGGGTCTGCAGTGCAACGGCTTGAGGCGGCCGGGATGAGGGTCTCAAGGTTCCAGCGCAATGGCAAAACTCGCCCAGCCGTGGCCTTTAACTAAAGCAGTCTTCTGGATGTTGTCGGGCCACGCAATGCGACGGAATTGCTGCGGGCAATAGAACAATTGGCGTGTTGCCCGGTGTTATTCTGCCAGCTGGCGTCGCGAGGCCCTACGAAACCTGCGTTGTGGCTTCTCATTGTTTCGGCAAACGCTTGGTTTCAAGACGGGGAAGCAACGCAATTCTGTAAACATTGCCAGAAAACGGCATTGTCATGGATGTGTTTTGCGGTTGCTCAAATCATGCACACAGCTGATGGGTATCCTTACAGCGTGGTTCCGACGCCCGCGCTGAAAGACGTTTAGTTCCAAAGCTGCTTTGGGCCGCCTTAAGAAAATTTTGGGTTGTGGCAAGCGGCAGATGAATGCTTGTCTAGAAGAAGAGGTGTTGGAATTGCATGGGATCGATCGAGCTCGCTTTTCATTTTTGCGGTTCTGCCGATTTAAAAAAAGCGTGCTTTTGCTCGCAAATTCTGATCTGTGGTTGCCTTGCCTCGAAAACCCTGATGCGCAACAAGCGTGCAAAAACACAACAATCGCCAGATCTGCCCAGATCCCACATCAGAACACCGTCGGGTCCAGGGGGGTCTTGTCATTCACACGACTGGCCTTTTCAAGCCCCCAACAAAGTACTGGTTCGCTCCTATCTGGTCCTATCTATTGAGCTTAGGGGCTGGGTGGGCCAAAGAAAGTAACTTCTGATTGCCCGTCGCTTGCATCGACGTTGTGGCGTTCAATCGAAAATGGTTCCTTTGAAATGGCAAAGCACGCCTTGGCCCAGCATGTGTGTTCGGAGGGTGTCAGCAACAGCTGCGCGCGGCAAAACGCCGATGTCTTGCCAGGGGCTGCGTTGAGCAGCCAGTTCACCAGCCTGCTGTTGCTGACACGGTGCTCTCAGTAGTAGCGCACGACCGTCTCGCGCTGCGATGAGGTGGAGAACTGGAGGCAACGAAGTGTTGCTCCCCCACCTGTCATCGGTCGCCCAACCATAAGCTTTTTGATTGAGCGTTTTCAACAGGTCTGCGATGGTTGTACCTGGAACAAGCCTGGGCCTATACGTAAAAGCTTTTGAGCCTGATCGATTGTATATTGGTGGGCAGAGTCGGTTTTGCAACCATCAGGCCTGAATCAGGCCACGCAACCATTGATATTTGGGTGCAGCATGGCGCCTCAGCTACTTTGCGCGCGGCCAAGCCACCTTCGAAGCAGCTGCGGCTTGTGCGCGAGCTTGCCCCAGTCGACGCTGTATATGGTACAACGGAGTGCTCTCGCAGTCTACTGTTTGGCGCGTGTGCTTGTAGAAACCCAGGAGGCCAAAGATGTCCCAACGCAGCGCAGCTATGAGCAAGAAGAAGTCCTAGTAGTTCCTCTCTCCTGTTTCCTCACTGTTCCTTCGCTTTTGTTTTTTCTCACCCCCTCTCGCTTGGTCTCGCTCTCCTGCTTTGCCTCCTTACCCTTCTGCTGACCCTTCTGCTTTTGAAGCGCGCCCGGAAAAATCCACCTTCCTCGCTGTCTCTCTCTCTTTCCCTCTCTCCCTTCCGGTCGCCCTCCTGTTTTTACCCTTTTCTGCTCCTTCCGCTTCTAAATGCCAGAAAAATCGAAAAAGTACGAAGAACATTTCCCCCCCCATGAAGAGGATTGAAACGGTGTTATGATAGTAAAGTAGCCCGTGGCCTAGGATGTTTTTCCAATTCTTTCCCAAAGATTGACATTGGCGCATTACTTTGGGCGAAAAGGGTCAAGGTGAGACTACCCTTCGACTCTTGAAGGCTATTTAGACGCAAATTTGATTATTATAAGTTGTAACTTTTCCCGCACGTTGGAGCGGGGTGTGGCATTTAATGGAAATGCTGCGCAGTTGTTCGGTACGTAATTTTTTTGGTGTTATTTTCCCACCACCCTGGTTCTTCCAAAATGTGCTGTGTGGGCTCCGTCCGTCAAGTCCCCCAACCATCGATGCAGGCGGTTGGAAAGTTCCTATGAACACATTAAAACTGAGCTGTTGGGCCTTTTGAATTGGACCTCTGTGGGCCAACGGGCGGAGCACGACGGTGCTTTGATCGCTGCGGGCGACTGGCAAGAGGCCAGGGCGGGCACAGGGTACCTTTTAATAGCGACAGTCATATGTTAATGGGAAAATCAAAAGGTCTTAAGTGCGAAAGTGAGTCGTGTAATTGCGGAGTAGGGAGGTCTTTGGATGGAGTTTTTGATGAGGCGGCCAGTGTCAAAAAACCGCCCGGAAACTTGTTGTCCAAGGGCTCAAAAAATGGATCCTTCTTGAATTGGGGAGGGTCCCGACGGCAGTCTTTGCTGATTTTGCAAGTTGCAAAAAAACCGCCCTGGAAGCGGTTTTCCAATGACAAATTGATCCAGGGGCTTTGCGGGAAAGATCTCCCTGAAAGTGGTGTTCAGGACAGTCTTTTGATGAGTGGCAGTGGAGAAGAACCCATTGCATGGGTCGTCCATCGACGAGTTTCGCAACCGAACCAGTTTCGCAATTAAAGAAACCATTTTGTAATTATATAGGGGTTTGTTTTTCCTATTAAAGGGTGCCCTCGCAAGAGGCTTGGAGCTCAAACAGATCAAGCGCAAAGCAGATCGAACGGTTTGTTTGGGAGGTGTAATGAATCATTACCCGTTGCAGGTTTTCATTGGGAGTCCATGTCTGGCATGTCACCTCAGGTGGTGCTGCTGGGCGACGCCGAGGACGCTCTGCCGAATCGCCAGCGCTGTCCGGCCACCAGCCGTGCCTTAAATGCGAGGCCAGAGGTCACGGAGTGTGTGAGAGCGGGGGTTGGAGAGGCTCTCTTCAGCTGCCTCAAGCCCCACACGAAGCTGTGGACGCGGCTGGGCAGACGTGGGAAGGGAAAGGGCTGACTGGAGGTGATATGGGGTTGCACTTCATCTTTGATGGTTTGGTTTGGCACAAAGTGGCACCACTGAGTGGCTTCTTGAGCCCTGCCGTGTCTATAATGGCCATGTATTTGCTTCCCACAGAGTTCTTAGTTTTTACATTTTTCACCTTGGCTGAGGCATTGTGGACCGACCAACGTGAGGCTCACCTGCCACTTGGGTCTCATCATCCCACCGCAATGCTCCATCACGGCGGGCGACGCGCCACCACGCCATTGGACCGAGGGGAAATGCCTGGTCTTTGACGACTCTTTTGAGCATTCGGTGGAGAAGCTCGGGAAGAAACCAATGGCAGGGAGGATTGAAAGTCTTTTTTTTTGGGGGGGGAAGACCTCACACGTGATAACGATAAACAAAAAAATATATATATATATATACATACACTGTATATACTATATACCAGAAAGCTTCTCATTCGGTGGCCCTGGATGTATTATAAGAATTGACAACAGACCTTGAACTACGACATTGGCTGCGCCCTTCGTATTTGGTCAGAGCTGAGGAACAACTCTGAAGAGAGCCGCTTTATTCTCTTGGTGAATTTCTTTCACCCCGACCTCCCGCCTGATCGCTGGCGGGACTTTGGTGATCAGGGTGCATGAAAACAGAGCGAGGGGCCTTGTGGGACCGGAAGGGGCCTAGGGCCCTAGGGTGAAGTGATTTCCCCCTCTACGCGCAAACATGTGCAAAATACATATTTTAGAAGGCCTTGCATTGGACCACCTGTGTGTTCTTGACCTACCATACAAATCTTGGCTTCCCTGGCTTGCCAGGATGGAGAAAGAAGGCCTGCGTCATTTGCGGCCACCTCCGGCAGGAGCGCTGCAAGCACTGCAGGCAGTCGGGAGGGACAGCAAGGCTTCCAGCAAGCCTAGAATCCAAGAGTGGGAGCTTGTGTTCCGTGGCATAAATTGGGTCGACCAAGTACGTCCTTTCAGGGCATTCTCAAGGGGAGTCATACAAGGGTCCTGGCTTCATCAGTATTCGCCCCACATGGTGTTTGGCAGGGCCAAGTTGAGGCAAGAAGAACATGTCGCCACTTCAAACAACAGTAATGATCTTCATTACTTACAAATCCACAAAGGATACATGCTTTAACAGAGCACCAAAGCAAAGTACGTCAATTTCATGTTTCTTATGGCGGGCATTGATGTATGTGAGTGCATTACATTGCCATATGAACCTACCTCATATAGATTTATAAATATATATATATTTTTGCATCGTGCACCTGCTGATTCTCAACCCGTGCCATCGAATTTGACCATGGTCCACTCTGGCTTTCCCAAAGGACGAAGCCCTGAATCCCCAGACTAGGCATTGTGCGCGGTGCGTGCGGCGCTTTGATCATCATTGCCCATGGCTTGGGAACTGTGGCTTGGCTTTACTACCCAAACCCCGAATCACTCCTCTACCCTGTTTTTTTCCACCTTTTACGCAGAAAGTTGCCGTTTCAGGATAATGTTTGTGTCATAGTCATTTGGAGAGAGACTGGATGGCCTTCGCTGACTCATGAGTTGACCATCAGATCTACATAACCCTGTGACATTTGGGCAGGATTCAAAACTGATGCACTTTTTACAGCTGATTGCCGTAGCTTTTGTTTACCGCCGCTGGCCTCGAGGTCTATGGGAGACCTTTTTGATCGTTTGACGATGTAATTTTTTGGATGGGGTAACCACCAAGCAGGCAGTGTCAACCTAGGCTGAGAGATCTGAACCACTGACATGGTCCCAGTGCTTTCCATTTGGTGAGCAGACATAGGACATAGTTTCCCAACCCATGGTCCTAGGCATTGGTGAGCAGAACTTGCATCTTGACCTACGGGCATTGGGCTTGGGAAACTTTTGGGTGGTTGGTCACCCCCAACACTCGGAACGATACGGCTTGGTTGAGGCTTTGTGGGTTCGTTTGCTAGATTTTTTGTTTGATCCCTTTCAGTGGGTTCAGTTCAATCCCATTTGGAGCAGCACAGCTGCGAATCCGATGATAACCACCTATGTTGGGATGACACTATTGTGCACTATCATATGCTGTAGCCGGCCCCCTCCCCCGTGCAGGGCCGCTCAGTGGGGTCCGAAGGTGAAACAGACGGAAAAAAACACGAAACCAGGGCACAATTTGTCAGAGGGTGCTTGTTGTCTTAAATGCTCCATGAAAGTGCTACGGAGTGCTGCCACATTATTTGGTTCGTTTTGCTGCTCGGATTGTCTCTAGCAAAAGCTAAGGTATGTTTTCTTCAGGCCCCTTCGAACCCGCATGGGTTTGCGGAAAGTGTGACAGTGACCGACATCAGCCCACAGTAGTGTCATTGAAAGCGCACCTCAGGCGAGTGGACATGAGGTTCAACTCGTGGTTAGACACCTCTCATTGGTACACTTTTGGTGGGTCATTTTCCTTTTTGACGAGGGTTGATTTTGTAAAGACCGATGAGCCTCCCATGTTGGAACATCATCCCACTATATAGTAATTGTAGTTCTCATGGAGAAATGGTTGTGACCCAGAAGATCTCCATTTCGCTTGGACGTGCAGACCAACTCCGAATCAACCATGTTCCCTTCACCCGGTGCCAGGTTTCTGGCCTCCACTCTGCTGCCTCCACCTCAAACAAATGGAATTTCTCACCGATTGTGCAGTGAGTAGAGTCTAGTTTGTGAAGGTGACTCAGTGAGGATATTCTAAAGCAAACAGGAGTTTGAGCTTGACATGTCCAAAGGTGATGTCGGCCTACTTTTCTCAAACTGTATATACCAATCAAGACTGCAGGGTAGACTTACTGTAAGTCGCATCAACTTGTGTAATGTCGCATCGCGGCCGCATGGTTTATGGGGATAGCATCAACAACACATGCAAGAAAACTTTTGCTAGAATGACTGGGCTAGTATTTACTGCACTGCATAGTATTGTTGGCACTTGCTTGTGGTTGCCTGTTGTTCATTGAGCCTCCTTTGGTTCCCCCGTGGGGCATGATGTTGTGCAAATTGTGCATGTGTTTTGGTGAAGATTGGCGGTGCAGGTTTGCTGGTTCACCCTCAAGGCTTGGAAGACTTGAACATCTTTGGACTGAACCTACAATGAACCTTGAGTGTGATGTTTCCTTGCTCAGTTCAGGTCGTTGCTTCTCGCTCTACAATTGCACTGGGAAGCATTGCAAACCCTGCAGGCAAGGCTGCGGGACAGTGTTTTGGAACGAGACCCCCTTCAAGCAGGCCCCTTTACAGGCGACCGTATTAAAGGGAAATTGAGCCTTACCCTCTTTCTTTGCATCTCCTTTTCCCCTACAAGCCTGGGCGTGAGTATACCGAGTAGACCACTCCTTCACTGTCTCCACTAGAAGTTTCCAGCTACAAGCTTGTGCTGGTATACAACATCTATACATTAGAATCCTTGACTTGGTTTGATGAGACCAGTTCTAATTGCTCGCTTCGATTGGCACGGAAGTCCTGCCCGCTTTCGACGGATTTCTGAGCTTCCTTCCTGCGAGGCAGGCTTCAGAGCGTGGCTTGCGCCAGCCTCAAGCACTCTCGCCATGAGAGACTTGATCGCTACTCATCTCGGGCCAATTGAGAGATCTACTTGATCACACCGCAGTCCTGGGAACCATCGTTCTTTCTCTACAGTGTTGGTTGGGAAAAATGCTTATGTGGCCAAATCCTCCAAAAGTCGAACGTTTGTTGAGCCAGGATGTTCAGCAATCTTCGGCATCCATCCCTCCCATGTCAAGGTCACTGCAATCCTATTCATTGACTCCTTCCTAGCCACTTGGCTTTTTCGCGAAGTCTGGTGAGGCAATGGGCAACTTTCTTTTCACGCCACTTCCAATGCGCATTTTACACAATACCTCTTCTATGACTGTCTATACTCAAACATGCAGTGCCTATTTGATTGAACTATGTGCACAATTGACAAAAGCATCCATTGGTGATACTGTAACTGTGGAGACACCGGGATGGACAGGCAGCGCCCCAAGCCAGGCAATCTTCGTGACCTGTGTCCTCCTGCAGCAGGCAGACTCGCTTTCTGGCCGTGCCTGGTGTGGGCGAATATCCTGGTTTTGCCCGGATTCTGGTGCTATGGTCAAGTATCAATCATGAGATGTATTTTTGGACAGTTGGGTTCTGAAACTTCGTGGGATGGGGTATGGTGGGAAAGATTGTCATTCAGGGATGTTGGAGATGCACTGCTAGGTGACAGATCAGAGACAAACATATAGGTCTTTTGTACAGCACTGGACAGTTTCATACGTAGTTGGAGCTGAAGTCTTCTACAAGCACGCGTGGCCGAATAATCCAAGTCCTGAGTGTTGCACTACTGACCCAGGTTTTTCTGGATCTTCCAATTTTTTTTCGCAACCTCGGGTGGTACGATCATGAAATACCGCTTGAGCCACTGACTGGAGGCTGGCCTTGCTGTGGCTGGTATCACCAGGTGTGGCCATGTTTGTTGACGGCTTTGCTCGTAGCTAGAAGCTAGTAGGTTGGAGGCCATCGCTACTAGGAGCTACTAGTAACAAGGGCATTGCTGTACTACTAGTAGCTATAGAAGCTACTAGGTGTTGCTCGCATCGAGCATCCACTTTCCCGGAGGAGTGGTGGTTTAAGATTCGTCAAAGACGAGCTGTGCAGGTATGAAGGCTTAAAGGCCAAGGACGTCAGGGGCTCAGGACGAGCTAGTTTGCGGGAAGAATCTGCATGCAGGAGTTTCGGTTGGGGTCACTGTTCTGTCCCTGTCATAGCCCTGGAGTTTATGTTAACGAGTTAACGTTAAAATCCATGCTGAACAAACAATCGGCCGCAAGTCAAAAGCAATGCAAGTGGTCCTGTCATTGTGATCATTGTGCGTGGAATGTATGGTTCATGACTAAACAGACCTACCAGATTGGGGGCCAAAGCCCTGTGATGTGAAATAGTAGCTGGGTGCATGCAAGCAACCTCGCATCGCGTTCCACATCCCATTGAATTGGCAGGATTCTATCTAGCATTCCTGAATTGCTGAGACCATGGTTGCCTGAGCTCTTTCTTCAAGGCTTCCTCAATGCGTCCAGCTACAAAGGTCATGCAAATCCAGGAGCTCACTATACTCTAAGATCTCATCCTCCGCTGAGAAGAAGCCCTACAACATCCCTCAACTACATCGAACACTCAAACTCGTTTAGGCACATGCCCCACATGTCCTTCAGTTGCAATGCTGACATGTTGAAACTTTGCAGCAAGAGCCATTTGCGTCGATCCTCTCCAGCAGCAATACCAACATGATGCATCTCATATTTTGCAACAAGCCCAGCAAAATTGGCCCACCCGCCACCCGCCAAGATGCCTAACCTCTACCACCAACACATGACACCTCGCAGGATTCTAAGCTCAGCTAAACTCATCCCGACTGACACTGGAAGATGATCGTAGAGGCCCAAAACCATTGCATTGTACCTGTGCCACCCACCGTTGGACATATTAAATATGTTAGTTATGATGTTACCCCATCCAGGCCTTGTTTTTAATCCTGTTCAGTTCAGTACCATTGTTGCCAGATTGTTGAGCGTGACACCCTTCCACTCGTGTTTGGAGTTGGCTTATGAACGACCTTTGTGCTTGTCTCTTGTAATGTTCTATGTGTGACCAGTAGATTGTGATAGACTGCGGTGCTTGGCAGTTCCTCTCAGTTGCATTGCGGTGGATGTGCAATCAACTGCGGTCACCCGCATACTGCTGTGGTGCAAATATGAGAAGCATCCAGAAAGTGTAGAATAATCTGCTGCCCTGAGTTTCGTAGCTGGTGGTCCACGTGGCGATTTGCACAGGCTCGCAGGGGTTCAGAGACTCATCATCGATCTTCCAATGGCCCCTGAAGTGTGGATAATGCTAGATGCTAGCTCTTTCACTTGGAGGGCATGCAAACACATGGAACCTCACGGAACCCTGTAAGCAGAAACATGCGGCCACGTCCTCAACAAGTTTTGGATTTGTAGAAGATTTCCTGTTCAGGCGTGTTTCAGAAGCTATCAAAACTCATGATCGAAATCTTTCTTTTTTATTGCGTTCGGAAAAGAATTCTTCATACCTTCACTCCTTGTCCAGGTGGAGCCTGACTTGGAGGTCTTGCGGTGGGGGTAGGGTTTGGACTTGAGGGGGTCCTTCATTTAGAGTTATGATAGTTGATGAGTCTTTTCCCTCTATGTCCTATGCGATGTTGATGTTTTTGTTGGCCCTCAGTTTGCTGGGGTTCCTTGGGTTTGTCACCACTAAACTCATCTAAATTCAATGGTCAATGATGTGTTTTTTTGCACCCCAAAAGAATCATGCACGAGAAAAGGTGTGGTCTTGGGTCGCCGGGATAGCGCTGGGTACACCAAAACAGCCGGAGTTTCGGAGTTGATGACTGTTGAATGACCTTCCCAAATCGCCTGTGTGACTCCAGGACCCGTCCAAGGGATGTCCAACGCGGGAAGTGCAGAAAAGAGCACCGCCGTGGGGGGTTCGAAGTCGAAGGGTAACCGTGGGGGAGGCGGGAGTCATTTTCGCGGGAGTCATTTTCATGAATCCCTTCCTAGCCCAACATAGCTCGAGTGTTTCACAAAATTGCACCCATGGCATCGACATGAGCGTGGGAGAGTTCCGCATGGTGCTTCATTGTAAGCGTTTGGTCGGGGGAATCATTTGAACATTTTGTAACTTACATTCACCCTTACTTTGAACACTTAGAATCCTAGAGTTTGGCTTAGAGCCACTCGATTCTACAAGCTTCCCCTAACGAATCCCCACTGGTCTCAGTCAGTCCCAGTCAGCTACACGGGTCAGTGGCCCAGGCGTTTTCACCTCCCAAGGATCACAGGATCTCTCGCCTCCTTATGAGTCGTGGGCAGGCTTGTTACAAAAGAGAAGAACAAAAGGTAAGATGAGGCTGTCAATGTTTTTCTTGGGGTACTGTGACTGTGAATGACAGAGCAGCTCAAGATACTTGAAGATACACCACGGTCTGACCCCCTGTAAAGCCAGTCTACTATGCTACCGATTGTGAATCTGATCGCCATGGTCATGTCGCTTGTGGCCAGAATCGGAATCTGACAGCCAGAGGTCATTTGTTGCGTGCCTTTCTGGCCTCCCCGCAACCATTTGCAGCCAATGTCCATCAATTTCTCCTGTTCACTCACCTCTGACCATCGCAAGGATTTGAGGTCCAGTGTAGCTGCTCCTCGGGTCTTGCGCGTTGTCCGCATCCGGCATGAGAGGCGGGCTCATCCGGCATATGTGTAAAGCAGACGGGTCTTCATTCTTTTCGATCATCAACTTTGTTTCTAATAGCTTCTTGTTACTACTAGTAAGGCACTTGTTACTACTAGCGAGGCACTTGTTACTAATAGCTTCTTGTTTCTCGTAGTAGGGGCAGCTGGGGGACAACACTTGACGTCAAGGATCCTTCAGGATCATGAGGGAGGCACCGCAAGAGCGGTTGGGGAGTGGTTGCATTTGGCGCTGGAGTGTGTGTGTCTACTGACAGACACCGCCTTTGGCGCAGACCCCCCCGCCCCCGAAAAGTCATTTGAGTAGTGTTTGTTGAACGAATAAAGTTATAAGACATGGTTAGACTGAACCCACCAAATTAAGTATTTGTGAAGGCATTTGTGACTGTGATACAGTATGTGTGGCGAAGGCTCGCGAAGCCTCCGGTGTAGGCTCTTGGATTTCACGCATGCGAAGCCAATTCGCGAAGTCTGGTGTTGTGAGCCTCTCGAAGCCACCTTTCCCACAAGTTTTGACCTGCGAAACCCACAGCGTAGGCAACTCAGCAGTGAATAGGCACTTGACCTTTAGAAAAGCACAGCTCATTTCTGTAAACCAACCCCGCCTTCGTGTGTTTTAGTTGTCCGCTTCGTGGAACTCCAACTGTGCTAGCCTATGTACGTAAAGGTTGCGGTCTTCCAATGCCTTTCCTCTGATTTCAGGCAGTGGCGGGTTTTCCCTTAAGCATTCTTAAGCCATAAAGCCTGCAACTCGGTTTCATTGGGGAATCCGGGAATCCAGTTATTTCGTATTCCGTTGCTCCAGCCGCAGTCAGACCGTTGTTTTGCCAGGCAGTGCGGGCTATGGCAAGGTTCAGCCTGTCGGACGTGCTCAGCTGACATAGGACATGGGTTTCAGGGGACTATGGACACATGTGGATCTCCTCACAAATATATGTTGGTAATTTTTTGACATTCCGATTCTGTTGGACTGGAATTCTTGGACTATGACATGGTTGTGGGGTCTGCCGCTGTGGTGCCCTTGGCCACCTTGAGACAATCAAAGAATGGGATGGTGGATGAAGCTAGTAGAGGAATGAGATTACAATGGAAGCTTTGCAGCTGAGGGCAACCAGGGACACCACAGGTTCCTTCGCGGTCTTTTTCATTAAGCTATTGATCATTTTGCTTCAGAAGCAGCCCCATCAGTTGGCTGCTTCTGCAGTAGCCCTTCATAAACACTGTGTGGGCCCCCAAACAGCGCTGTCTCGGCTGGACTGAGGCTGGTATGCAGCAGCCTCAGATGACTCAGCTCACACAGAGATCGCAAACAATAGCCACGGAAGCCATAGGATAGGATCATTGACCCAGAGCCATCTAAGTAGAGTATGAGTGGGTGCTGGCTGTACATTCTGCCCTTTGTCACATACACCAAGCAAAAACTCACAGTGACAACCACAAGCTTGGAGTTTGGACATCAGACATGATGGAATTTGTTGGTCCTCATCGGAAGGAAGTTCATGGGAATCCTTAGAGTACACACTATACTAGAAACAAGAGCATCGCTACTAGTAACAAGAGCATCGCCAGTAGCGATGCACTTGTTACTATGCATACGATAGATGAAGGGAGCAACGAGCAATTCACTGAGCCGTGCAAGTCTGAGGCCGCTGATCCCGCCAGCAGCAGGATTCAAGGTGAGATTTGAAGCGACGAAACGACCTGCAGTTTCACAATGAATACCTCTCGCAGCCAGGATGCTGAATGGAGTCTTGCTTTTCAATTGGTTCAGTCGATGAATGATTCTGAGGTTTGCCTCGCTCTAGGAATCTGGGTGATATTGACCTGCAGGCTCTTGAAGGTGAATGTGCAGGCCAAACTTCCACAAAAAAGTATTGTGAAAACCCACGTAGCCAAGCCTCCCCGAACTGGTGTGGTATCAAAAATTGCGGGGCTGGTGAAGATGACGATGACAACTTCTTCGTTGGATGGGTGCAAGCATGAGACTGAGTGCAAACAGAACCTGGTGATAGGGAGAAGATCAACTGTTCAATTAGAACTACCATCCATTGCAAGGTTCTCCCAATAATAATTGATAGCAGTGCTCGCATGTTCGCAGGGTGGGGTGCCAGTGCCCACCGCACGGCAGCAGCCATGGCAGCAGCAGCAGCAGCAGTCATGGCAGGAGACCCTTTCGACGCCGATCGATTATCACGAAAGCCAGGCACTTCCTTGGTCGGATGCTGGTTGCCCACTTGTTCTATGCTTGCAGGGATCTAAAACTCTAGCCATGGTATTTCTGACCAAAAGAAATGAGACGGATTCATTGAGGATACAAACCTCACAAAAAAAATAAATCTCTACCCTCCAAAGGATTTGGAGGGAGGAGGGCAAAACAAGACGTTAAATTATAGGGGTCAGCCTATTTAACTATTCCAGGGGACCTGTGGGTTCGTGGAATGATTAAGATGGAAGAATATCTCAGGCATATTTAATTGACAAGGGGCTGGTCACAGGTACCCCTGGAATAATGTTCAAGAACAGTGACTGATCTGAAGTCAACAGTTTGCCGCCAGAAGTGTGAGAGGCTCAGAAAGACTTAACATGATTTAACAAGATTATGCCACACAGGCTCGCAACACATTAAAAGAACATAAGACTTAACAGGCTAGCAGTCACTGGCCATGTGTAGAACCATATGCTCAGATTCAGATGCCCTTTGTTGAAGGCAATAATCACCTGCCACACACCTGCTACTGGTAGCAAGCAGCACTGTTTCACCTGTTTGCAGTCCCACTGACTAAAACCTGTTCAGGAACTAGTGGCACCTATGGGCCATGAGATAGGTATTCCCCCAAAGAAGAAACAATTGCCTTGCAATTGGTTGGTGGTCAGCCCAACATGCCACCACTGGTCAAGGTATTCTAGGGGTGGTCCCAGTTCTCATCCTACAGATCTCTAATTCAACCAGTTGATCGAACTGAGACTTTGTACAGGTTTGTGCTGTGTGAGCGCTATCTTGATATGTTTTTGATATGAAGATGTAGAGATAACAAAAAAAATGCAGCAAGTCAAGCAGTTACCAGAATAACTTTGAAACCAACTCAAAGGGGGTCAGAGTAGTTTAAAAATATTCCTAGGGTTTTGAGTGGGGGGCAATTAAGCTATCCCCTATGTTAAATTCAGGACGCGGTTGACAACTCCATTTTTGCAGTGCTTTGTTGGGTATTTTCCCTTGTGGTGCCTCAGGAGCCATGGCAAAAGGACTGGCACTGCGGTTTTTCATGTGCTCTGGCCTTTGGCATTGAAGGGATTTGGGGACAAGATTCATTTTTCATGTTCAGTAGGCTAAAGCACCTTAGCGATGCGAGACCAACACCATCCGTGCCGGTCGGAAGTGGTCGAACCGGCGCATAAACCCGAAGGTGAGGGGCAGACCAAAAATCAACCACGCCAAGTTTTCAAGTCAGTTGGATTAGACATCCGCTGTTGAGATGCGTTTCATGCCCTCAGCTCCAATGCACCTGACGACAGGAAGACACAGGGCCCCCGCGTGTACTCACTTTAGAGCTCACGCAGGAGAGTGATGGGAGAGCTGGATGAACGGATGAACAGGGTCAGTGGCATTCGGCGTTAAGAACGGCAAGTAAGACTTCACTGGAATCGGGGTCCATAAGATTTTCATGGTGCTTTCTCGGGCTTCTTGGATTTGAGGAACTTGACCAAAGCATCCACATCTGAAAGCACAACGTTCCGCTTCGGAATATGCCAAGTTGCCGTAGTTACTATATATACCAACCAAAGAGGGTTCCTTGAAGCACTGCAGTGACCCGTTCAGGAGTCTCAGCTTACCTCGCAAGGCTTCCCTCCAGAGGCGATGGATGAACGAGTCGTGGCTGTGTTGGTCGGGGCTGTTCGTGATTCCGCCCGACCACGAGGACACTCCGACCACGGGGGGAGCGCAACCGTCACCAATGCTTCCAAAGGATTCCAAAGGGTTTCGATGAGAAGGGCTTCCTTTTCCAAGGCTGAACTCCTGCAAGGGAAAGGAAGCGAGGTTTGACTTTGCTTGTGTGATGCCCCTCTTACTCTTGATGAAATTGACTCCGATGACTCCAACAAATGCTTGGCGGATGTTGGTGAATGGTTGGGGCCGGGGTATGAGGTGTGGAGTTTTGCACCATATACTGTATATTATATATATATATATGCTCAGTCCTAGATTGGTATAATAGATGGCTTATAACAAATTGAGTAACCAATTGGTTTTATACCATCTGTAACAACAATACAAAGATGGTCCAATAACATCTATTATACCATGTGTAACAATTGGCTCATAACCAATTGAGTAACAGATGGTGTGGAGTTTTGCATCTCTGGGGATCATTTTTTGCAGATGGTCCTCAGGCACCAGCCATTGCCCACGACAAGTCGATGACGGTCTTTCGCTCTGCCCGGACGCCCATTCTGAATAGCGCTGGATAGCACTGGTGATGTAGCGGGATGGTGAACCGGAACCACGACCCTGCAAAAACATGCCCTTAGGATCTGTTTCGTTCGCCTTCGTGTATGCCTTTGTGTGAGTTTTTTGAGGGTAGATCTGGCGCATCGACAAGCGTTCGCCGCAACGTTCGCCCCACGCCAACCTGCCAAAGCACTCAATTGAACCACGTTTTCGGGTTGCATCTCCTTGAGGCTCACTCGATCCTCTGCGAAGTGGTGGGGGACATTAGTTGCCAGCTCAGTTCGGGTGCTCCCATGTATATACTTAGACATTTTTTGAGACCATTCATGTCGTGTGGTTCTGCATATTGACTGCAGTGCTTTTACTCCCCAATAGGATCCAAACACAACCTCAAAATACCTCGAATCCATAGCTGCTATGGAATTCTTGGCAAGCAATACCAAGTGAGAGGAAAAGAAGTCAGCAAGACTCTTCAAGATTCTAGACACCAAACAGTTGCCATTTTTGCAAGTCCTTAACGGTCTTAACCTTTTGAATCGTTTGGATGCCTTTATCAAAAAAAGAGTTCTGTGCTTTCGCTCTCCAAGGCACTGAGGTGGAGATGCACCATGATACGGAGCGAAAGCCAATCAAACTGAGTTGACTGAGCGGCCATCAGAGAATGGGCAGCTGGTTCAAATCCTCAGAATCCCTCAGATGCTGAGCCGCTAGGATGTGTCATAATGCAACAACAGAGCCTACAAACATACAAACATGGAGGATCCCCCCACGCAAATCAAGGCATTGAACGAAAGGCCTTACCATCATTTGCCATCCCAATCTCTCGCATACCCTCTATGCCTACTGACCAACGGCCTTTCTCTGGTTCTTCGCAGGAGTGGGATATTTTTCCTGAGATTGGGGAAGCGATCCAGCGGGCAGGCGGGCCCACGGAGACTAACAAAGGAGCAGCCGTTACACGGCATTGATGTGTGCAGCTGTAGCTGTAGCCGATGATCACGGTGTGGACCCTGGAGTAGTTGGTGTGTCATCCAAGTTTCTACCTGTTCCTTTAAGATCGTTCTGCATAGGCATAGGCTTTTCGTGGGACACCGGCCGTGCCGTCCTAAAATCCGAGCCGAGTCGCCGGGTGGATTCCGGGCCTCAACCCTACGGCTAAGACGTTCAACCCGAAGTGGGACATCACGGGATTTGCCCCTTCCGCACGATGTGGCCGCAAGGTGGGGAGGAGCTTTGCTTCAGCCAGGAGCCCAAAGCTGATCCGATTGCACCAATGAAGACAAATCCTTGAAAGGCCAACGGTTTGAATGTAGATTTCTGTCGAGATGCTGGGTATTCTTGCCATAGTGGCAGGTTTGTTTATGCTGCCTGGGCTTGGAGTGGTGAATGCCAACATGACAACCCAGTCGGTTTGGCCGATTTCGGCCTCTCGACCGAGGTGTAGTGACCTGCCCGAACCACGGCAAGTGGGCCCGGCAGCCATGCGGACGTGAGAAGGGTGACACGATGATCTAGCACCGATCAAGGCGTAGCCATGCGTAGCCGATATTTGACGTCGATCTATACCCATGATGTCGATAGATTCGGTGGCCGTGGTGGCCATTATGTTGCCACCTTTTGCATGGCACCTATCGCGACAAAGTATCCATTGGATAGAGTTGTTTTGTTTCGAGAATCTCACGCTGGTGCTGGCAAAAGCCAAACTTGTTCCCCTCCAGCAGCTCTGGGCCAAGGCGGTTGGCATAGCTGCAGGAAAGAAAGGCAGGGTATGAGTTCCAGGGTAAAAATAGGTTTCAGCATGTTTCAACAACATGGGAATGCATGTTATTTTGAAGTGACATTGGAACAAGTAGCTAATTTCGCAAGGATGTTCCCAGGCTAGGATCTATGGATTCGGCCCATCTCTCATGCCATGGTGGGTTCAACAGACAGAATCAGATTTACATAGAATGTGATGTATGGGCTTACTATATAATATATACTGTATAATATACGTCCCCAGCATTTCCACCGAATACTCCCCACTGCCAGACATTCTGAGGCCCCTGAATTGCATCATTGAACATCATTGCACCAGCTAATGACTTCACGCAAGCCGTGCTAAACCCGATGCAAACTTTACAAGACATGGGGTTTGAAGGATGCCGATCAAAATGTCCTCCCTGTACATAAGTTCCGTATGCCACTTCAGTTCAGTGTGGCAGATCCTGCCGCAAGGCCGCGAAGTGGCTGGAAAGCTGGCATTAGCCTTTAGCCTTTTGGTTGATCGGGGCCTGGGAGCTCAGTGTGTTCCAACTTGGGAGGATCCAGAGACTCAGATCTCCAGTTTTCGTTGGATGATCTTGCCTGAAGGTGTTGTGGGTCATCACGTGTCAGCAGGTAATGGATGCCTGTCGTGATGCGTTTTCTTTGCAAAGCTGCGGGAGGATAGCTGTTCTGATGCCCATGAGCTATGCAACATCATACGGTTTTGTCAGTGCAGCTGCTGAAGATGGCAGACCCCCTTTTGGAAACCGACCTGCTCACAACCCAACTGGACGGAACACCTCACCGCCCGACCTTGCCCCCATGGTCGGATCACGAAGTCGAAGCCGCCCTCGCTTTAGAACCTGCTGACCTGGAAATCTTCTGCAAGAACTACCCCGAGTTTCGGGCCTGCGCCTCAGCAGCTTGGGGTCGATCCACCCTGTCACCCTGGGCCAAGCTGGGCCACCTACCGGAGTTCGGGATTCCAACTGTTCCGCTGTGATCGCATTTGTTGGGCTGCGGGGAATTGCAATTCGTGGATTGGACCAGGTCTCTTCAGGGGGAGGAGGATGCGGGCGCATGTTCATGCATTTTTCGAAAGAACTTTCAAGATCCCTGTGACTGGACCTACCATCAGCCGCCGGATTTGCCTTCAATGACTTCAAAGCGCCCGTTGACTCTTGCTGCTTCTTTTTGGCAAAGGCTATGCTCGCAGAAGCAGGCTTGCTGCCCCCACGAGGCCGACACCGAGACAGCGTGGCATTAGAGGGGACGGGTCATGGACTGATGGATCACTGGATGTAAAACCGCTTTTGCACTGACTGTTTGTGCTTGATGTGCTGACCATCCGTGTTTCTGTTTGGCCTGGGTGAAGCGTGTTGGAAATTGGAGCTGGAACTCCGGCAGCCCGGGGATTACCTTATCACCAGAAGCCCGAGGCGGTCCGCAAAAGAGAAGTGTGGGGGCCTTAGCCGCATCGAGGTTTTGCCGTTAGCAGCAACAAACCCATCAGACATCTTACACAGTCACCGAAGGATCGGTTCTCCTGAACCATTTTCACTGACCACTTGCGCTGGCTGTATCGATCTTTAGCTTTTCTATCTTTGACGTATGGGAGGTCTATGAATTCAGTGCACTGCCTCACGTAAGGCAGCTCTCCTGCCACAAGCTGGTGGGAAGGGCCCTGCCGGTCCCACCCCCTGGGCAGTTGCCTGGGCTGCAGCGATCTGCCTTGCTTGGGAGGAGGACTTCGATCAGGTGATTACCATGGAACGCGCAACTGGGCCCTTGGCAAAGGCCAATCCAGATAAACATTTGGTTTTTAGTGTTCAGGCTTAAGGAGTTCCTTCCTAAATGTTTGTTGCAATGGTGTACTGCATTTGTGTATCTGCGAAGGACGTTGGACTCATGCTGATGCTCATTAAGCCTTAGTTGTTGAAGCACATCCACGGGCTACATCAGACCTCCAACCATGTTGTTTCAGCAGAAGATTGCAGAGGGAATGGCTGTGCAGAATTCCAACAGGGATGACTCCTCCACCCAAACGTGGTAAGGAAAGCGTCATCGCTTCCCAGCCCCTGAGAAGTAGGCGGCTGGCAAATCATTGTATATCCCAGCATATCCCAATCGCTTTATCCTGGGGCCATGAGCCCAACAACCTTCCTTTGTGGTACAGCCACATTTGGGTTTCGTGAGTTTGACCACCGGTTTGGCATCAAAACTTGAGTGACAATTGCACGATGTTCTCACCATCGCCTGAGGCTGCCCCAGCACCCAGCCCCTCTGGCGCTTCGGCGCCGGCGTCTAACGGAGGCGAGTGAGGACGAGGGGAGACGGTGTTTTAGATGCAGTCAGCCGATGTCAGCGGCTTCGCAAGGCAAATTTGAACTGTGACGGTTGTTGTTTTCTTGGTCAGGAAGTTGAAATAATCGTGACTTGAGCTTGCCCAGTGTCAGTCTTGGGTGTGCTCAGGTGTGAGCAATTCTTTGCAAATGCATACGTATGTGCAAGGGTCAAAACACGCGTTGATGACTTTAATAGGGCAGCCGCCTTGAGGTATCATAAACCATCAAAAACATGTGAGTAGCGATACCACCCTTGAAGAGGCGATACCATGGTGATACCATCATCAGTGATTTGCAACAATGCTGTGTGAACTGCAGCCGGTTTCCTTACCCAAGGATCGAAAGATACCTAGCTTGGATTAGTTCAGATTAGATGGGATCGTATTGGATGGGGTAGACAATTGGGAAGATCGATGACATCCTTGACTTCTCCGAATTGTCTAGCTGCTCGGCGACGCCCCTAGCGATACTCAAGCGATACGCGAAATCCAGTTAAGTGATCATCTGCACACCGCCAGACATACCACTGCTGCTGGTGCTGCTACTACTACTACTACGACGACGACGACTACTACCACTGCATCAAAAACGTCAAAACCTACTACTACTACTACCACTGCTGCTGCTGCTACTACTACTACTACCACCACCACCATGACGACGACAACGACGACGACCACTTCATCAAAAACATCAAAACCTACCACTACTACTACTACTACTACCACTGCTGCTGCTGCTACTAGCACTACTACTTCCACGACGGCTACTACTACCACTGCATCAAAAACATCAATACCTACTACTACTACTACCACTGCTGCTGCTGCTTCTTCTACTACTACTACTACCACCACCACTGCATCAAAAACATCAAAACCTACTACTGCTACTACTGCTGCTACCACCACTGCTGCTGGTGCTGCTGATACTACTACTACTACTACTACCACGACGACGACTACTACCACTGCACCAGAAACATCAACATCTACGACTACTACTACCACCACCACTGCTGCCGCTCCTAATCTACTACTACCATTGCATCAAAAACATCAAAACCTACTACTACTACTACTACTACTGCTACTACTACTACTACTACTACTATTACTACATCTACCACGACAACTACTACCACCACTGCATCAAAAACATCAACTACTACTACTACTACTATTACTACCACGATGACTACTACTACCACTGCATCAAAAACATCAAAGCCTAGTACTACTACGACGACGACTACTACTACTCCTGCTGCTACTACTACTGCTACTACCCCTCCTGCTGCTGCTACTGCTGCTCCCAGCAAAGGGCGACAGGTCAAAAAATTTGCTGGCACTATGTGTAGCGATACCACCCTTGAAGATACTCAGGACCTTACCACACAGAAGGAGTTTTGACCACCGCACTTCCTGTACCTTGGTGTAGTGTTGCAGAGGACCCTGCTGTCATCACATGGTCACCTGTCATCACCTGGAACAATGGTCCTGCACCTGCTAGGCCAATTTTTGAGGTTCTCCATCGAATTTCCTTGAAGCGTGACGGCGTCCAATCGGAAAGATGCGAATGCCCAAACTGAGACCAGGAAACGCCATGCGCGACGACAGGCCTTCCACAGTTTTTGTGGATCTCTTTGGACCCCACCGCCAGCTTGTGCCAGGTGTGTGGGAAGGGGGGAGGTCGAGACCTGCCACGAATTGATCGTGTTTGACCATGGCCACGGGTTTCTTGGATCGTCCAGGGTCTCTTCTATAGTGTCTACGGTGTTCCGTTATTCAAGACGTCTCTGTGGTAGGCTAGCTTTGTCACTTGACGATGGGGCATGCCAGCTGGAAGCCACGCAATGCACCAGCAACAGCTGGAAGTTGGACGGTCTACACAGAAGAGCCGATAGCTATAAGGGCTGCCCATCCCGTAACGGTGTGACATTTGTGACACCCATTTCGAAAAGACCCCGATCAACCAACATCATCCACTTGCTCTGGGTGGTGGCAGTGTCCAAACTATTTGAACTTTGACTTCATTCGGATCTCTTACTTGGTAAATGCGAGTCAGACCCCTTCCTCGCAGAGACCTTCGCTTGGCATTCCGGTTTGTCAGGAGGGGCTCCCCTCAGAGGGCCTTTGCGTGTATCACGACAAGTACACAGCTGTGGAGCTGGCATAACTTCTGGCCATGTTGCCACCTGGGTGCAGCCAACCTCCAGAAGTAGCCTCAAGCTGGAAGTGTATTTCATTTGACCACTGTGACCACCCAAAACCAGCTTCGAACAAGCTTTAAATCGAACCATTGTCAGGACCGCCCACATCGAGAATTTGGGTTTCCTCATGTTGCGTCGATCATCTTAAACAAATGATTCCAGGGGGTCATCTCACCTCGTGGACTGTTTTTTTCCAAACCAATGGCCATAGCAGGGATGTCGGGGCCGAGGTACCACCCATAATAAGGTGGATCCAAGAATAGGGCGGATTGGAATCATTTGGCGCCGAGACCTGAGAGAGAGAGAGAGAGACGACCAAACGACACCTTCAAGTTCTGAACCATTCTGACTCCTGACACTGATTGTTGCGCCGCTCATGTCCAGCCAAAGGAGGTCTACCAAGAAGATCGACATGGATTGGAAGTTGAATCCTGTCAAGATCTCAAAAAAAATCCGCAATGTGAATGACATCATGGATTAGTATTTAGAATCAATATGAATGTTACTTTGTTATGCCAGGCATGTGTGTGTGAGAGGGGGTTCCCCTTGAGTAACCCCCGCATGATGTGATTTTACTTTTTGTGTAGGTTTAGGCATTTAGGGATTTCCAGGGGTCGTCCGGTGGGCCTTTGCAAGGCTACAAGCCTGCCAGTGGAAAGAAGATCCCTTTTTCTTTGATATGCTTGGCATGTGTTTCTGCCTCAAAACCTTCCAGCCGCCACCCCTTTCTGCTTTGGGCGGACACCTGGACCGTTTGCCAGGACCTTTTCCGATCCGGCCAATTTGTGCTCTCAGAGGTGGGCGGTCAGACGAATGCCTTCAGAACTGGAGGAGAGTCTAGTAGCTTCTTGTTACTACTAGTAAGGCACTTGTTACTAGAAGCGATGCACTTGTTTCTAGTAGCTTCTTGTTACTACTGTGAGGAATGGAAGTTGCTTTCACTGGCTCATAGATTTTGCTTGGACCTACTGGAGACAGTAGCCTCTACGCGCTACTCGGCTACTCCTAATTTGGCAATGGCATGGCCTCACACTTTGGCCGCTGATGAGGTGGTTGCAGAGGTCAACAATGAGGTGATCATTACGCATGATCCTGATTGGGACCCGATGGGCTTCAAACAAGTGGGTTTTGGCCGCTGTGTTGTGTTGCTTTTGTTGGTTTGTGAGATGGGTGTTCAATGATGGACGGGCTGGGTGAGAGAGAAATGGCTTGACTCTTTCTATATATATATATATTTATAACCGTTCGCCAGACAGATTTTTGGTGCCCGTCAGGTTGTATCATGAAAATCCACGCAGCCCCCCTCACAGCCCCCCCCCCCCGGATTCATCCAAATTAAGAAAAGTGTCGGTGAAAATGGCGCTGTGGGTTGTCAAAATCAAGCACTCCTAAATAGTGCCTTATTAGAGACAAATTTAGATGAGTGGCTTCAAGCAATTGGCAAAAGGGTGCAGTTGAAAATAGAGCTCTAATAGGGCCTTATTTAGGGGCCCTAGAATATAGGTCCCAGGATCACGTGTGGACATGCTTGCCTCTCTGCCTGCCTGCCTGCCTGCCTCTCTGGGCTTTGTGGTCCGGCTCTGTGTCCGGGCCTTGTCCTCCTCTTGTCCTTGTCTGGCTGGGCTCTGTGTCCGGGTCTTGTCCTCCTCTGGTCCTCCTTTTGTCCTTGTCTTGGTGGGCTCTGGGCTCAGTGTCCGGGTCTTGTCCTTGTCTTGGCCGCGCCCCTGAACTCTGTGGCTGGGCTCTGTGGCCCGGCTCTGTGTCCGGGCGTGCAGTTCCCAAACAGCTGGAGGCTTTAGAAAAGTATACTTGCATTCGTTTCCACAAACATTGGAATTTTTAGAGTTGACGCCGACGCCCAAAAATGCTGACGCTGTTTGGGGTCTACGCTAGAATTTAAATGTTGAAGGATTTTGGAATGCGTTTTGATGGCTGCGAAGATGTGACACTCGCCGCGCCGGTCGCCACCAGATTCGCAGGACCCATCCAATTGAATATTTATTGTTTTTTCCAGGGGTTGAGGCAGCTGAGGGGCTGCACAGCAAAAATATTCAAGAACCGTGGGCCCTAAATCGGAAATGGATTTGCGCAGAACAAACAATGTTCATTGCATTTTTTTTGGCGCCCGGTGACGCCGGTGCACGGTCGCCATGGCCATGGACATCACACCTGCATCATCTGTTGCGGATGACTATTCAGAGACGGTACTAAGCGGGGAAGCCAGTGATGCCCCAGCTTGGACCCAATCCAGTCACACTGAGCTGTGGCCTCCCAGTGACATGTCAGAGGACTGCCTTGGCCTAAAAATAGTATTAAAATAAGGCCCAAATAGGGTTCAATTAAGGCCCTGATAACCAAGAACCAAATTGAACAGATGCTTCAGATTTTGAGGGGGGTTCCACAACTAGGTTTTCTAGTATAAACGACGATGGAAATAAAAGCAGCAAAGCACGCTGATCGCAGGAGAAGTGGGACCGAGAGTCAGGGTTGGCAAAAGCAGCTCGGATTGCTCAAGTGGCTTGGCGAGTCGTTTTGGACAAGCTGGGCAGTGCAGCATTGGAGGCCCTTTTGTCCAAATGTTTAAAGGTGCCCCCCATTAACTCCAATGCAACATGCAATTTTATTGAGCTTTTTGCTCAAATGTGGCGGGTTTTAATCAGTGTGGCCGATTTCCATGGTCGCAGGACAGCCTCCTTTTTACCACCACTCGTACCTCAAGTAGTTGCACTGGCTGTTTTACAGCAGAAATGGCACTGGCAGTGCTACAGAAGACTATCAACGACAGCGGGGCTTTGAGATGTGGTGTGGCTTTCAGACCTGTCAGCGCTCATGCCAGCGTCTCAGTTTTACCCCGTTCTAATGGGCCAATACTCAGAGTTGAAAAGAACAAATAAGAAGGTCGGACGGGTTTACGTTTAATTTATTGTGCTTAAGTACTGTGGATCGAGCTTTTGATTTGGCCACGAGTCGAGGAAATCAATGCTGGCTGCCGGCAGCTGATTCTCGACCACCTTCAATGGTGCTACTCAGTCACTGGCACCTGCCACCGCCCATGCATCTTTGGAGACTTGGTTGAATGCGTGCCGCCTGGGTCCTTCTGTGATGAAGATCCCTTCTACAAGAAACTCTATGACTTTAACAGAGCCGACCTGATGAAGTCACAACATTGTTTCTTTTGCACGCAGCAGTGTCCTTTGTTTGGTCCGTCAGCCGAAAGTGACATGGAAGTAGCAGGACTTCCGTGTACGGATCAGTCTGCAGCTGGAAACCGCTTGTATCAAGAAGGGCCAACCGCAAAGGTGTTCTTAGCCCATGCGAAGCGGCACATCGAAAAGGAGACACCCCTTTTGATTTTGGAGAATGTTCAGGAGCGGGATTGTGGTTGTCCGGGATTGATTTCAGCATGGTTAAGGTTGCTTTTCAAACATAAAACAGCAGCCAACACCTTTTTGTGAGAAGGTGTAGTTCCATTCCTTATTTGGTGACTAATTTCTATCTAATTCAGGCCAATCAAAGATAGGATTGGGCCAGTTCTCCAACAGGAGCTACATATGGGTATCATCCACAAACTCTATGGGCTTTGGTACAACATCTTTCCCATCTATGTGGATCCAAGAGATGTGGGCCACTCTGGAGCTTCCAGAGCCCGAGTCTACATCATCATGGCCCACAAGCAGAAGGTTGCCCAGCGTTTTGACTGTCGAAAGATGTATGCAAGAATCTCTGCAGCGATGAAGGCTCTTGTGGCCACCACCCCGAAAGACTACTTTGTTGCAGACAAGATTGACATTCAGCTGGAGGCAGCGAGAGTGGCAAGAGTTCGCAAGAGACATTTGAAGCCGAAGGCGCCTACAAATTAAAGTGCAGGGGTGGTGTGCTGTAAAGTTTTGTAGTAAAGCCATTTTCGGGGTCCGGCTGGTTTAGCTTGATCACATTTCCCTGGCCAAAAGGCCGTTGAATTGGACTACTTGCTCAACCATCGGGAGCAGAAGGCAGTGGAGGATGCGAAGCAGATCTACTGGAAGAAATTCCACAGGGACCCTATGAAGGACGAGAACCTCGTGGTGTTTTTGGGCGATAATCCAAAGAGATACCTTTGCTGGAGCGGACTCTCAGAACATTTTTTGCGCAAGATTTTCCCGCCTTCCTCGGTGGTGTGGTGAATACAGTTGCAGTTGGGAGCCCCCTGCTGTAGTACCAAGATGGAGGGCTCCATGCTATTGTATGCATTAATTAGAGCTAATGTAGGCCTTATTTGAGCTCTAATCGGAGAGTCGCCCAACTAAGGAGCAAGCGGGCGCTTACCTACACTTCGAATGAACAGTGGCAAGATGTACATCGTCAAAGCCAAGCGGTGGTCGCCAAGCATTGTGGGTAGATTTTGCATTTCCCAATCTTAAAAAATAGATTTGGCAGTTGTGTCACACAGTGATTCTTTTTCCTGTGCGATGCCCTGGCGTTTGAGGCTTTGTGGCAGGGAGAAGCTGAGCACCCTTGGATTTCCAGTCTCTGGAGACACGGCGCTCAGTATGGGAGTGCCCCGCCTCCCAGTTTCCGACCCCGCAAGGGCAAGCCAGATTTCCGGAAATTGCATGCATTTTTCATGTATCCTGGTCATTCAATTGATCAGTCTCTGTTGTTTCACCAGGACAGATTCGGACTAGGTTCAGTGACAGGTCCCTAGGTGTGGCTTCAGATGTCAGAAATAGAGCAACTGCACGACAGTTTTTTTTGAGTTAGTTTACAATTCATGTCTGTATGCTACGCCAACAGCATAGCCGCCAGAAAGAAACATTCAGTGGTGCGCTTGCAGCTGAGGGATTGGGACGAAGGGTTTGTTTTTTGTCAAAGATTTCACCAAATTAAGGCCCAATTAGAGTCCAATTAAGGCCCAATTGTTATCCAAAATGTAGTTATTGAAGGGTAATCAGCTTGGTTGGGTTGACGTGTTGCTTTGTCTAAGAGGTATTGTCACTGTTGCTGACAAGGCCCGCTGCAGCGCGCTCACGGTCTCAAACGATTTTGTCCGCTGTGCAGATTAGATTGAAAAGCCTAGTCTAGCTTCCGATGAGCTTGTCCAAAGCAGACCTGATCTCCAAAATCAAAGCTCTTGGGGAAGATCCTCCTGAGAGCTGGACAAAGGTGGAGCTCCTTGCAAGGTACAACGAGATGACAGCCTCTACTTCAAAGCGAAGGGCAAAAACAGACCTGCAGGAACAGATTCGTCGATTGAATGCTGCAAGCCGAAAGAAAAGTGAGTTGGAACAATTTTGCAAGGATCTAGGTCTGTCCACACCATCTCGCGCTACCATGGCAGAAATGCAATCGGCCGCTCTTGACCAGATCTACACCGTCACGCCACCGAATGGCTTGGACCATGTCGGATTTGGTCCATGGGCAAAGTTGACCTACGTCCAGTTGCTGCAAAAGCCAGACTTCTGCACACAGATCCTGACAGAGGCCAAGAATCCAGAAGGTAGGGCATCCCCACGGTTGAAGCGTTTGGCTGCCTGGCTCAAGGACAACATGTCATTGGATTCTGAAAAGGAATTGCCCGGTAAGACTCCTTGGGTTCCGCATGAGAAGACATCAGCTGTCGGAGAGCAACTTCTGTTGGATGCAATTTCGACCCTTGAAGAGTTGTACATGACCATGAAGAGCGATGAGAGCGGGGACAATGACTCATGGACTGCAGTGAGCGTGCCTTATGATGGCTGAGACAGCCTGATGAGGATTTCTTGGTACTTTAATTCAATTTGTCGGCAACTTCCCACGAGCTGGCACTTTTCAAGCTTCAGATGATATCAACATGTTTGATCATCATTAATGTCAGAATTTCGTTAGTTCGTGGGTGCGTGCTCAAGGACGCTTAAGCTGCAGCCTCAAGGTTCCAAAACACACGCTCTTGGGCTGGAGGCGATCATCACTATAGGGTTGGAGGCCATGGCTCTTAGGTTGGAGGCCATTGCTATTAGGGTCGAGGCCATGGCTATTAGGGTGGAGACTTTAGGGTGGAGACCATCGCTATTGGATTGGAGGCCATCGCTACTATTGGGTTCGGGGCCATGGCAGAATTTCAATTAAACCTTTTGAGAAAACCAAGTAGCGGGCAAGAACTTCTACATCTCGCCCGTATCAGATCACGCCGCAGCCGTATCCATTTGAGACTCGAATTCCCGTTGCCCAGCTGGATCGTTCACCGCAGATTCCGGTCATTTGTCATGCCTCCTAAACGAGGGAGAGCCAAGGGCGAAGGCGATTCTTTCAAGCCCAAGAACAATATGCTTCCTGGGTCAGAGGATGAGGAAGAAGCTTTACAGTAGCTTGAAAACAATGAGGCCCCAAGTCCCCAAGACCCAAAACCATCCTTATTTAGGACTTAATTAGGCCTTGAGTGGATCGACATTTGAATCCAAATAGCATATTGTTGTAACCGTTTTTTACAATTTGACCCATGGTTCTCAGTTTCCAAGGTATCCAAATGTGGGAGTTCCCGTGATTGAGAAGAAGCGACCAAAATCCGCAGCGAAAGCCAAGTCGCAGAACAAGGCGAAAGGTGGAGAGCGGACGTCTAGGAACCAGAACTCGAACGAATACAAAAAGATGCAAACCCTGGATGATTTTCCTGAGCCTACCTATTCATTCGCACATCATTTTGTTGATTTGTTGTCGCAAGCGTCCCCGAAATCAGCTTTTGTACAGGCCCTGCAAAGGTTGGTGGAGGTCTTGTGGCATTTAATGTTGGGTCCTGAAATCTGGTTCTTTACAGGCCCTCAACCTGTTTGTCCAGGTCCTGTTTCCGGATTGCCTAACTAAGGATGATGAATTGATGTCGTGGCTTGTGGGTTTGCAACACCAGAACCTTGAGGAAGACGTATTGCAAACGTGTCGAAGGCCAACACTGTTTGCTATCATCACTTTCATGACTGGACTTCTTGCGGGTGACAAGAAACCAGATGATTGGAGCTAAGCTTAGTTGCGTGTTGTTATCGATTTATTAAGGGATGAAATACCAACCCAGCAAACTGTAGTGGCTTTTCAATGTGTGAGCTAAGGACCAACAAAAGCACCGTTGTGGAAGCATTGGCAACGCAGATCGTCAGACGCGGAGACCCCATTGGCAAAACCATGTGGGGGCCTCCTGAAATCAGGAAGTATGTTCAGTACCAATTGGGCCTACTTAGGGAGGACAAAATCTCACGGAACATGATGGGTGGTTATGCTTTCAAGTTGCCTCTAGCCCCACATGACGAGTCGGGAACCCCTGCCCCCCTTCCAAAAGATGTGGTGACGTTTTTGGATGCCAGCAAGCCGGTCACTACGCTGCAGAAGATATCAGCCAAACCTGGCAAGTTTCCTGGCGTGCAGTGGCTCCCACATATGTGCCCCTCTCTTTCTCATCACCACCCGTTGGAATTCCCCAGAAGCACACCTTACGTTCCTTGTTTTCACACTAATTTGCCATTAGTTTGCCATTATGTAGAGCAAAACAGGGACAACCCTGGAATAGGAAACCCAGCTTTCTCCTGCGATTCCGCCCAAGGTCTCAAGTGGATCTGTCCAAGGATGCAGGCAAGACAGCGACTGGTGGGAAGGTTGAGAAGGTGGAGAAGGGAGGATTGAAGAAAAAAAGGGAAGAAAAAAAGGAGGAGGAGGAGGGGACGGGAGTGCTCTCCCTCAAGTCAAATTGCTGAGAAAGAGGGTCTCATTTCTAGCGATTATTGTATGTTTATAATGGCTTTGAGTGCAGGAGTCTCGGGCCAATAAAGTTCAGAAGCGCCCTGCAGCCGCACGAGAAACCGTTCGTGTTGCTGAATCTTGGCAATGAAGGCGCTTTATCGCCAATGTTCCTGTTGACCCACCAGGCCAACCCAACCCCAAGGCATGACAACCTGTGCTCTTTAAGATGTTTTCGAAGGGCTTGGCATGGTCCATTATTTGAGGAGCCACTTCAAATTCATTTGTCTCAAGAAAGGGAAACCCTTTAGAAGTCACCAAATGACAAAAACTCGGGTTTCATCCGCTGTTGGCGCTCAGGACGACGACAAGGCACACTGCGGAAGCCATGTGTTTTTCCGTTTGCGTATGATTCACGTCAAGTTTTTGTGTCCTGGGGAAATGCATTTCGCACAATAATTTGCAAGAGCGGCCATGTGTTTCTGCAGAAGCACATTTTGCTGGTGGACAGGACTTTATCTTCTCAGATGAGGAGGAGGGCGAAGAGGTGGGCGAGGTGGACAACAAGCCCAATCCAGATGCGCCGTTCCTGGGGGTTGTTGAAAACAAGGTATATTTGGCAGACCCTTTGAATGACCTTCAGCTGAGGGTTCCAGGCAACGTTGACTTGATTTTGAAGAAGTTGCTGCCTCAAGACCCAGCAAAAGGACCTACATACATCCTTGATGCGAAGAACCCTGGGACCTCATTTGTCCCACGCTACACTCACCAGCTGCTCCAAAGCAGCAAAGTTCAACGTTTGTCGCAACTTGATTGAAAACAATCTCTTTGGGCTTTGTCGCTCGCATCTAGGGTTTTGAATTGAATCCGGATTGTGCTTCTGTAGTTTTCTGGAATTTTTGCACTGGTCAGGCAAGAGCTTGCTGCACTGGCTCCTGAGGATGACCAGTACATGCCGTTGGTGAAAGCGGCAATTGAATGAGCCACCTTTCATATGAAGCCTATTTGATGCGTGACTGCTGAGCCCCCCAAAACAAGGCCCAAATAAGACCAAAATAGGGCCAACATAGGCTCCAGAACACAAATTTGCAGGTTGTCACGCAGCCCTTGCCTTCGATGTCAGGCAGAGTAGATTATTTCGGGGATTTTGGGGATTTGTAGAAGCTTTTCCAGAGGAGGTGCCAGGCCAAGGCATGTAACGTTGGATAATACATAACTTTCAATTAGCCGGAATGTACATTGTTGATTGTCGATCATCATCAGGCTTGGCAGCAGCTCTGGTCACTGGACAGGGAAGCCTTGTTCAGAATGATGGGGTAGCCTGAAATTCAGAAAATCGGATACTAGAACATTGATTGATTCCAACATTTTAGTCAAGCAGGCAGCTATCACTTTCAGAAGCAGTCTATTTGCATCGTTGTTTTTCCGTGAGTTCGTGAACTTTGAGTTTCTTTGTGTAACTCCTGCATCAGCTCCTTCATTGAAGACATCACAGCATTTGCCCACTTCTTGACAGCAGCTTTTTGAAGATCATTGACCTTCTTTTGTCTTTGAACGGCTGGGCGCCCGTCATGCCTTCCAGTAGGCAAAAGAGGCCTCGGGTTGACGAAGAGGATGACGAGGAGGAGGACCCGGAAATGTCACAGGTTGAGGACGACACTATGATGACAGATGACGACATGGAGTCTGATGGTGCAAAGAGTGACATGATTGAGTTTCTTGCCTGGCTGCGATCGGGGAGGTTGGGTTTTTGGAAGATAGGCTACATGACCTCTATCTCATTGTGTTGCTATCAACTCCCAAGCTGCTTGGGGTCCACATGTCCTTTTCACGCCCAGGTGGCCAGCTCCTCCGCCCAAAGGACGGAACTCAGACATGCGCAGTGAGTCAGGCCGAGGCAGCCGCACTTCCAACGTGGAAACTTACAAGCGTCAGGTCAGGCTCAAAGACTTTGTGGTAAGCGCCTCATTTGTGCAGATCATATCAA